CTTGGGCACAGCAGCTGCCTGTGCTGGCCTCACTGGGAATCCCACCCCCACTGCGGCCACCTCCAGCATTCCAACCCTGAGCGGGAGCAGGGCTGACCCGGCCTGTCACCCTGGAAATCTGAACTCAGGAGGACGAAGAGGAGGAGGAGCGGCAGCCGCCGCCGCCATGCTGGGAGGAGGGAGCCCGTTGCCCCCTGGGTAACCAAGCGTCCCTGCCTGACTAGAACCTCCAGGTGCCCATACTCCCCCCACAACTGTCCTGTGGGGGGGCGCTGGTTGCCAGGACAACAGCCCCCCCTTTCCACCTGGGAACAACCGCGGGCAGGAGAGCCTAGAAGCGCCTGTTCCCTTCTGCAACGTGACTGGCACGGCCTGCAGCTGTGTCCCGGTGCCGGCCTGGCCACCCGACCAGGCGGCTCGTGTGGGGCGGCTGCAGGTGGTGCGAGGGACAGGGTGCCGCCTCGCCTTGTTCCTGGTCAGCTGCATCCGGGGCTCTGTTTTTGTAGCATTTTTTTATGGCATTGGGGATGGAACCCAGGGCCTTCACACTGAGCTGCATCCCCAGCCCTGTTTAGTTTTTATTTTGAGACAAGTTCTTGCCAAATGGATCCAGTTGAGCTCAAATATTTGATCCTCCTGCCTCAGCTTCCCAGACTGCTGTGATGACAGGCGCGCACCACCACATCCGGCTTCTTCCAGTTCTGCCTGCCTGCCTGGAGGCCACCGTGGAGGCTCAGGAGAGCGGGGAGGGGGAGGGCAGGGGGGGCGGGGACAAAGGGTAGATGGACGCTTGTCGCCTGGCGTCACCTGCACCGGAGGCGCCCAGGAACTGAGTCAGTGGACCCTGCTGGCCTGGAAGAGGCAGACGAGGTCTGGAACCTGAGCCTCAGAGCAGCTCCCCGCCCCCAAGCCTGCCACCGCCGCCAGGAACTCCAGGGCAGCGGGCAGTTGGCGCCACAAGGCCCAGGAGGGCGGGGATAGGCCAGGGTCTGCATGTTAAAGGCCCAGGCTTCCCGCCGGGCCGGCCCAGACAGGCCGTGGCCGCGACAGACCCTCTGCTTTGTGTCACCCGGCCACTGTGGCTGAGGAGAGGCGGCCGCCACGTGGTGATGGGGACCTGGACCGGCGCTGGCCGGGTTGCTGGGCAAAGTCAGGAACCCAAAGAAGCAAGTGGGGAGTGAGTCTTAAGTATATGTATGTCCCCCGCAGGAGCTGGGACACAAGTATGTAAAAACCTTCACAGTGGTTGGGTGTTTTGCCCCACGCCTGTCATCCTACAGGGTTTGGAAGGCTGAGGAAGGGTGACCGCAGTCCAGCCTCGGCAATTTAGTGAAACTCCATCTCAAAATGAAAAATAAAAAGGACTAGAGGTGTGGGGCATGGTAGCACATCTCTGTAATCGTAGCACTCAGGAGGCTGAGGCAGGAGGATTACTCTGTGAAGTGAGTTCAAGGCCAGCCTGGGCTACAAAATGAGCTCAAGGCTAACCTGAACTGCAGAGCAAAACCCTGTCTCAAAAAGAGAAAAAAAGGGGGCTGGGGACTTAGCTCAGTGGCACAGTGCCTGCCTGGCAAGTGCAAGGTCGTAAGTTCGATTCCCGGTACCGGGAAAAAAAAAAAGAGGATTAAAAAAAAAAAAAAGAAAAAAGACAGGGATGTAGCTCAATGAGAAGGCCCCAGGTTCAATCCCTGGAATTGAAAACAAAACCTTTCCTGAAAGAGAGAATGATCTGAGTGAATGTACTATGCCTGGACTGGTCCCACCTTCCATCCCTCCCCACCTCTTCCAGTGGCACTTTTTCCTCGATGCTAACTAAAACAGGAGTGCTTTCTCCCGTCCAGGTTCCCCATCTTTCATCCTCCATCCCTTTGAATTTCTATCCACTGGGCAGCCTCAGAGATCTTTCAACTAGTCCATCTGCTCCTCTAGCTCCAGAACCTACTGTGGCTCCCCAGTGCCCTTTGACACTGGCAGCTGGGTCTTTGCCAATCTGTCCAGCTCTGTCCATGCTCCCCGACCACTGCCCATGTCCCGCCCTTTACCTGCATTCTTGCCCTGTCTGACCCCTGCTCATTTTCTGGAAACATTTCTCTTCCTCATGGATTATGAGAACCTTAAAAGCTGCCCAGGGCTACCTACCCAGAGACTAGTACACAGCAAAGCTGAATAACTGTTTTGGTTTGGTTTGTTGGTCTTTTTGAGACAGGGTCTTGCTATGCAGTTCAGGCTGGGC